AATAAATGCCTGGACGGGGCCGGGCCAGGAGAGAGAGAGAGCATTGCCCTTAGACGGAATCGAACCGGCAACCTCGTCATGAACTGTGAAGGAGTACTAGTGACGCGCTCTACCATTGAGCTATAAGGGCGAACTCTCTGAGGCTATGTTATGCCTGGGTTGAGATGGTGCTATCTAATTCTGAATTATGAGTTGGGTTGGGTTGGGTTGGTGGTGGGTGGGTTGTTGTGGGCCTGTGGTGGGGGGGAGGGGGAGGGAGAAGAGGTGGTTGGTTGGTTGTGGTTGGTTAGAAGAGAGGGAGAGCGGGTTGGACGTTAAGCGGCGTGGTATGTATGTAGGTATGTTTTCTTTTGTTCTTGTTGGCTAGAAAGCTATTCTTCTGTTACTCTTTCTGTTTGTTTGATCTCTGATTGTTTTATTAAAAGTCAATCTCTGTTTTTGTTTTTCCAAATGTTGAAGTTTCAATTTTTAAAGCTAACATAGCTGTGAGTTGTACTAGTTCGTACCGATAACTTCTATTTTATTTAATTTATTCTTGATTTCTTATAATGTTGATATTGCTATTCTGAATTTTAATTATGTTTGAGAGTAGACCTTTTCCCTACATACAGGGTATTTAAGTTGGATATCTAGCTCCAAACCCTAAGATGCATCAGCCGGTCATGTAAATAACGCGGAGCCGTACCAGAACAACTCCTCATATTCTTCCCATCTTACTATCGCTATCCGAAACCACATCTTTCTCAGTCAAAAATCAAGAATCCCAAAAGCTACCAAGTAAGAAGGACCAAGTTTATTAGCTTTCAAGGAACTTCCAGCTGATTAGATACATGGTATGGTAGTAAGTAAATTGGGTTTCGTTAGAAGAAAGAATACAACAGTTCTGAGTTCCCACATGTTCTCCTCCCCGAAGACAATCCAGCAAGCTTCTGGACTGATGTCTGTCTAGTTTGATATGGCGTATCGTATGGATAAAGGTCCTATGTCCGAGGTCATAGAGCCAAGACGACAGCCCAGAGATTAGTGACGGAGGAGACGAGAGGACCGAGAGCCTGGCCGACAGGTCCAGCTACACATTTTCGAAAAGTCAGCAAGCGTTCCTTTCCCTCTCTCCGCATCTTTATTCAGGGGGAAATAAAGAAAACTTACACAAGCCGAACAGATCCTGCAGCTGCCACGAAAGGCCACTGATCTCCGCGAGGAGTGCCGACAGAGTGCTCGCGGCTGCGGTGCCAGTCGGGTCCTGACGGATAGTAACGCTCTTCAGAGGCTCGTTTCCGGTCAAAACCTCAACGGCGTTAGTGACGATGCCCTCGAGGCCCTGGAGAGCCTGGGCGACGACGGTAGCGGCGGCGGAGAGGTCGGCGGGGGAGCTGTCCTTGCTGAGAGGCGTGATGGTGCTATCTGATAGATGATGGTCAGTTGGGCGATTCTCTTTGAGCGAGCGAGGGAGGCAGGTGTTACGTACTGATGGTGTTGGTGTATGGTTCAGCTTGCTGGTTGAGGTTCTTGAGGACGGAGAGAGCGTCGCTGGGAGCGCGCTGCTGGACAACACCGGCGAAGACGCTGGTGAAGAGCGCGTAGAGCGCGACGAGGTACATGGACAAGAGCTTCATCTTGATTCTTGAAAGCAGGCGGGCGAAAGCAAAGCCTAACCGTTAGAGTTGAAGAGCAAAGAGCAAAAGACAACGAGGTTGAGAAACTCGACTGCGGAAAGACCAAGAACTGAGGACGACACACAAACAAACAAACAAGTATATTTTCCCGTACCGGGGCCAGTTTTTATATCTATAAACTCCCAATCTCATAATCCCGTGCAGAATCGCAATTGAGGTTCTTGCAACACCCCCCCACCAACCAACCCATAACCCGGCTATTCTCCGATCTTCCCAATTGACAAACATCTTGGCATTATGTCGCCACCGAACCCAAGATTTTCAGATCCCCCTCCTCTTAATTTACGAACTGAAGATCACTGATCTACATACCTCCCGTCATCAATATCACAATATGAGAATCTCACAGCTTACCATCAATAGCTTCATCTGCAAGAGCAATTCACACGACTAGGGGACAGGGTTGGGGGTGGTGGGGGTGCGGTATTGCCCGTCCCCATGCCTATGCAACGCAATGCACTATGTACCTGACCCTGGCATGAACTTCAACTTCCAGGGGAACTTTACACGGTGATCGACGGACAGGGAATCTATAGTAGAGCCATGTGGCGCGGGCGGCGGGATTTGGGAAAGGGGGGCGCGGTTGGTTTGCAGGCCGGTCTAGGTACTCGATAGTTTGCCAGACCCCCCCCCCCCCC